CCAGGCATGGTGGCACATGCCTGTAATCTCAGCTACTCGGGAGGCTGAGGCAGGAGAATTGCTTGAACCTGGGAGGCGGAGGTTGCGGTGAGCCAAGATCATGCCATTGCACTCCAGCCTGGGCAACAAAAGTGAAACTCTGTCTCAAAAAAAAAAAAAAGAAAGAAAAGAAAAGAAAAAGAAAAAAAGAAAAAAAAAGAAATTATTGCTTTCTCTTAAGAATGCCAATTAAACCTTTTTTCTTTATAAATTACCCAGTCTGAAGTATTTCTTTATAGCAGTTCAAGAATGGCCTAACGCGGGCCCCTTCTGTATTGCTACTTTGCCATCCACACAATGTGTCTTCCCTCTCCAGCCAGCAAGTTGGAGGAAAAGGTGAAGAAGAGCAAACCTGCTTCCCTGATGAACACTTCCTTGGAAATGATGTGCATGTACGAACAGGTGCACACACATGCGTGCACACACATAAGCATATATACATACTTCCCATTGGCCAGAACTTAATCACATGGGTACACCGAAGAGCAAGGAAGGCTGGGAAATGTAGCCTGTGCCAAGTGACCACGCACCCAGCTACAAACTGTGAGTTCTGTTGCTAAGAAAGAAGCAAAGGATGTATGATATTGGTGGCAACTAACAGTCTCTCTCATCAAGGATATAATCAAACTTATGTAGTGGTAATGTATGTTTGAAAAATTTCAAAAGAAGGAAGGACAAAGAAAAAAGAAAGGAAGGAAGGGGAGGGGAGGGAAAGGGAGTGCAAGGCAGGGCAAAAATGAGAGAAAGGAAAAGAGAAAGAAAAAGAAAGAGAAAGAAAGGAAAGGGGAAGGAAAGAGAAGAAAGAAAGAAAAAGAAAGAGAAAGAAAGAGAGAGAGAAAGAAAGAAAAAGAAGGAAGGAGACAGAGAGAGAGAGACAGAGGTGCGAGGTACATGGCTTATGCCCGCAATCTTTGGGAAGCCAAGTTGGAAAGATTGCTTGAGCCCAGGAGTTCCAGATCAGCCTGGGCAACATAGCAAGACCACTATCTCTACAAACAATAATACAAAAAAAAATTAGCCAGGCATGGTGG